ATATATATATATATATATAACAGATCCCTTAATATCAGTTTATCTTACTATTCATCCTAAAGTCACAACTCTATGATCAAAACAATGAATGAATGAATTTCAGAGGCTAATAAACAAACCAGAGGCAGAAAGAGAGGAGATGAGATGTGGAAGTATTTGAAGTGAAGTAAAGCAAGAGAAGCAGATCCAGAACCTGTAAAGATGAGCGTCTCTCATTGCTGTTCCTGGTTGTTCTGGAGAACTGTGAATGTTAAAGAGTTCTGTGTTAAAGTGGATCCACGGAGTCCAGCAGCAGCTGCTGCCCCCTGCAGGCCGACCGCTGAACTGCAGCTGTGCGACTCTTCATGTTCATGTTCATGTGTGACCAGAGTCCTGAAAAGAACATATGTAGCTTGTTTATCTGTTATTGAGTCATAACATCTTATGTCTGTTCAATAATCCGTATCTGTGTTTCTCATCTGATCATAATTGTAAATCTATTTTTTCAGACATTAAAACAAAGTGAAATCCTTAATGTGTGAGATTCACTTTACGAGTTTAAATCTTGTGTTTCTCATTTACTTAATATTTGACTACATCATACAAGATATGTTTTTAAGTTTAAGTACAAACATTATTAATATTTATCCAGTAAGTGAGTTATTATTGTAGTTGTAGAAATGTAATGAGGGCAAGAGACACATTTCAGATTACTTATATTTATGAGGTCAATAACTCTAGTACAGTAGAATTATTAGTGTTTTTATTCATAAGAACTACTCGTCATCGTCACATCTTCATCCTGCTCAATGAATCACTAGCAGAGCTCAATGTTTGCTCATATTTCGTGAAACCAGATGTTTTAACTGCAAAATAAACTAAAGTAAAAGCTAATCCTGGCGCTCCTCCTGTGATCTCTGGCGTGAGGTCGGTCGCACGTCGATATGAAGAAAATGACTTGATTTATTCTACACAGGAGTCTGGTCCACCAGCTGCTGTTTGGCTGTAATCTTATAGAAGACGAGTGTTTGTGGTTGAATGACAGTAAACGATGAGAATATGTGAAAGTTTAGCAGCAGTTTAAACTCACTGTTCATTACAAACAGCAGACGGGTCAGTGAGAGGAACGATGAGCATTTAGCAGCTAAAGAGCCTGATAGCGCTCTCAGGAGGAGGTGGAGACCAAACACAGAGCAACCAGAGAAGACTGGACGTCTCCTCATCAGGGGACACAAACAACAACAACTCCTTTCAGCTGTTCTCAGCCGGTGCTGCTGCCCCCTGGTGGCCAACAATCAATGACTGCAGCTTTAAAAAGATACATAACCACCTTTTAATGCAGCGCAATGACGCTAACAGGACCAACAAAATCAACAAAATAAAGCTCAAACCCTGACAGACGACGAACTAAAGGAGGCCTCAACACAGATACACAGATAGATATATATATATATATATATATATATATCATATAGAACATGAATGAACTCACCTGTCTGTGCGACCAGCCCTCCGGTGCTACCAATCTGTTGGTCGTCTGAGCTGAAGAGCTGTCCGTCCGTCTGTGTGTCGATGACTCAGCAGTTAAACTCCATCAGGCCTCCGTCCATCGATCCATCAGCTGATAATCCAACAGCTCGTCTTTGTTTCCTTCAGTTTGTTCATAGATTCACGTTCTTTTCTTTCCATCAGGTTTCAGTCGAGTGATTCGTGGCTTTGATGTCGGAGCTCGTTGTGGAAACTAAACGCAGCCGGTGACCTGTTGACTCACTGCAATCAGTAAAGTTCTGAATCGAACAGGAAGTGATCGGTTCGATCGATGAATATAAAGTTGAAACGTCAGAGCTCCACTGATACAACAAACATCGGCCTCAGTGGGACATTTCTCTTATGGAAGAAAAAAAGTGACAAAATGATTCAGACATTTCAAGTAACTGAAAATCGAATGTTGACATTTAGATACAGCTGAGTGTTTTACTTTGAAAAGCTCTCTGACTTTATGTGGTTTTAGAATTCTCTCAGTCTTAAACGTTCTTTCTTCCGTCATGTGACTGAGAGAACGTAAGCTGATTGGATGTCTATCGATCCCGTTCAGGCTTCATTTGCTTTTCACAAAATAAAAGATCAAAAAGCTGCTGTGGAGCTTTTCATCATCTTACATCATCTTCTTCTCAGCAGAGGATGTTTGCCGAATTTTCTTTATATTTTAAGAATTTGTTTTTAGCTTAAAAGTTGATTTTCAACGTTTTGTTGATTTCCGTCTCATGTCGGCTGCTGTGGAGCTTCATTGAAACACGTTCGCTGCTTTTCTTCTGAAGCCCAGAAATACAAGTTTGTTTTCAATTTTAATTGTTAGAGTTGATTTTGAATAACGGTTGAAAGATTCCAATTTTGGCCTTTTTAGGCTGCCGTAGTAACCCACAACAAGTGACTAAACTAAATTTCTAGTAAACTTTGCTTTTTAGAATTAAATTTTTTTCAATAAGAAAATAATAAATAATGTTTCACAACACTTTGTTTACATAAATACCTAAAATCAGCTGAGATATTAAGTAAATCAATATAAATATTGTATCAGTCGAGCTCTAAAACATCCAAAATATCATCTTTTTTCTTTTACAAATGTCACAGTTTCCTTTCTTTTATAAATCTTTCCCTCTAACTGAACACGCGCATGATTTTAAAACCTTAACTTGTGTCTCTGGTGAACTTTTAAAGGACGTTTCTGGTTAATGTCTCAACATATTTCATCCTAAAATACCAGAAAATGAAATAACAGCTCAGTTTGGATCATTTCCTCTCAGTGACTACAGAGCTCAACAGGTCACGTGACTGTCTGTAAATATGAAATCACGTTTAAACGTTCAGCTGGTGAAGTCAGACAACATGGAGGTTCGTCCTCTCCTCTCTCCTCTCCTCTCCTCTCCTCTCTCCTCCTCTCTCCTCTCCTCTCTCCTCTCCTCTCCTTTCTCCTCTCCTCTCCTCTCTCCTCCTCTCTCCTCTCCTCCTCTCTCCTCCTCTCTCCTCTCCTCTCTCCTCCTCTCTCCTCTCCTCTCCTCTCTCCTCTCCTCCTCTCTCCTCCTCTCTCCTCTCCTCTCTCCTCCTCTCTCCTCTCCTCTCCTCTCCTCTCTCCTCTCCTCTCCCCTCTCCTCTCTCCTCTCCTCTCAATACGCAGAAGAGTCTGGAAGGTTGCTATAGAAACTGCATCCATTGATGGAGACGCAGCGCTGCTCCTCGTCCACACGGTGGCGCTCGTGGTTGAGGAAGAAAAATAACAGCAGGAGCTGCACCTGATGTCATCACAAACTGATGATTTAAAAACATGTTTTATAGAATCGAGTTTAATATGAGATGTGTGTGTGTGTGTGTGTGTGTGTGTGTGTGTGTGAGTGTGTGTGTGTGAGTGTGTGTGTGTGTGTGTGTGTGTGTGTGTGTGTGTGTGTGTGTGTTGAATTGGTCCTGTGTTGTCTCTGCTTCAGATAGACAGAAAAAAAAGCAAATGTAAACTTTAAACCTGCATTATTATGGCAATAAATTACTAAGAGAAACATTATTAATGATAATATTAATCATAATAATAATGATAAAGTGCTACAATCGTTCTCCTCATGGCGCTTAATGGAAGACCGGTTCATGTGATGGATGCGGGTTCTCTTATAATCCACCTGGTGGTTTTGGATGAGTCTCTCTGAGGGCGCAAAATAAGGAGCTCAACCCGGAGCGCGAGGTGTTTCTGATGGACGCGCCATCCGGTGCGTCACAGCGCGCGGGTGAGAGTCAGACGTCGGTGAGCTTCCCGGTGTATGCTTTGTGCGGGCTGCAGTTGGTGTGCTTGATGGAGTCCGCGTCCTCGCTGCCCGGGTAGAAGTCGGACTTGCACAGAGACGGGTTGCTGTCGCTCTGCTCGAACTCCCCGAACTGCAGCTGCTGCTGGCCGCAGGTCACGTGCGTGTACTGGAACTGCTCCTCGTGCTCCGTCTCGCGGTGGTAGAAGTAGTTGAAGTTGGACACGATGACCGGCACCGGCAGCGCGATGGTGAGCACGCCGGCGATGGCGCACAGCGAGCCCACGATCTTCCCCCCGATGGTCACGGGACACATGTCCCCGTAGCCCACGGTGGTCATGGACACCACGGCCCACCAGAAGGCGTCCGGGATGCTGCTGAAGCCCGAGTCCGGGTCGTCGGTCTCCGCAAAGTAGACCGCGCTGGAGAAGAGGATGACGCCGATGAAGAGGAAGAAGATGAGGAGGCCCAACTCCCGCATGCTGGCTTTGAGAGTCTGCCCGAGGATCTGGAGCCCCTTGGAGTGTCTGGAGAGCTTGAAGATGCGGAAGACCCGCACCAGGCGGATGACCCGGAGGATGGCCAGGGACATGGCCTGCTGCCCGTTCCCCTGGTGCTCCGCGAGCTCCAGCCCCAGCGTGATGAAGTACGGCATGATGGCCACGATGTCGATGGTGTTCATGATGTTCTTGAAGAACGCGGGCTTGCTCGGGCACGCTAGGAACCGGACCAGCAGCTCAAAAGAGAACCAGATGATGCAGAGCGTCTCCACGATGAAGAACGGGTCCGTGAACGGGTTCGGCTTCTTTGCGCGCGCCGTTCCGTTCCCCGCCGGCTGCTCGTCGAACGTCCGGGCGTCCTCTCTGAACTCAGGTAAAGTCTCCAAGCAGAAGATCACGATGGAGATGAGGATGACCAACACGGAGACTATGGCGATCCCCCTGGCGGGTCCGGAGCTCTCGGGGTACTCGAACAGGAGCCAGACCTGCCGCTGGAAGTCGTTCTCGGGCAGCGGGCGCTCCTCCTCCTTAATGAACCCCTCGTCCTCCTTAAAATTCTCGATCACCTCCTCCCCGAGCTCGTAAAATGTAATCTCCTCCATGAAGATGTCCACGGGCACGTTGACGGGTCTCCGGAGCCTGCCCCCGGACTGGTAGTAGTAGAGGATGGCGTCGAAGCTGGGTCTGTTCCGGTCGAAGAAGTACTCGTTCCTCAGCGGGTCGAAGAAGCGCATCCTCTTGCGCGGGTCCCCCAGCAGCGTGGAGGGGAACTGGGCGAGCGTCTTCAGCTGCGTCTCGAAGCGCAGCCCGGAGATGTTGACCACCACCCGCTCGCAGCAGTCCTGGTTCTCGGCTCGCTCCGGGTCGTACACATCCTGCGCGGACAGCGCGGCCAGTGCCACAGTCTCATCCAGGTTCTCTCCGGGAACCACTGTCATGTTTCTCCCCCACCCCCTCCACAGACAAGGGCGTCTCTTCCCGCTCCTCGGTCCTCTCGGTCCCCCCTCCGACTCCTCCGCGCGTATTTTGGGAACCAGCTGAGCGTCTTCCTCGTCTTTGTCTGCTCGGTGTGTCAGCGTCACGTCTGCGGGTGAGCTGGTTCCGCTGGCATTGTGTGTGCCCTCTTCCCCCCCCCACCGCCGCCGCCACCACGCTCACCTTTCCTGTCCACGCGCCGCTGTAGTCTGGACTCTGCTGTCACATTCGCTGCATCTTAAGCAGGCTTTGCCCTCCCCGAGCTGACGTGTGTGTGTGTGCACGCTCTCTCACTGAGGAAGGGGGGGGGGGTAAAAGCACACACACGCACGCTCACATATGCTCCTAATGAATCCGATCCAGATATTTGACATCAAACATGCACGAAATCATCTCGATTTGAGGAGACGACATCAGGAATGTGGAGACTGCGCGTGCACAGAGGGAGTCGTGCGTAATGAACCTGTTGTCTCCAGCGTGGCACAGGCTCAAGGTTACCACCTGAGCTGTTTATGGTGAAATGTGACGAGATGTTTGCAAAATACGAGCAGATATGAACGAGGACAGTTTAAAGGCGTAAAGCGTGAGAAATGTCGTGCATAAACGAGTCTCATGCAAGAAATCTACATTCCGCTCATGAACTGATCCTGAATGAATACCTGTGGCTCAGGGTCTGTCCTCCATCCACTCATCCTTTCACCCACAAACGACACACATGCGGGGGGAGAGAAGCTCTGCGATGTGACGCTGCAGCCGCTTCAAGACCAAAGCTTGCTGACGTTGGAGCCCTGAACGCGGCTCAGCTGCTCCACAAGTTGTGCACGACTCTCTCTCTCTCTCTCTCTCTCTCTCTCTCTCTCTCTCTCTCTCTCGTGCTGCATGCATGTTGCATTGTGCACGGAACAGCTTTATTCTGCTCTCCTGCTGTGAATGTGCAGTTTGTTTTTTAAAGCAACACGTCTGCGGATGGAAGGTCAACACTGCTGCGCTGTGCAACAAGTCGAGAGAGAGAGAGAGAGAGAGAGAGAGGGAGAGAGGGAGAGAGAGGGAGAGAGGGAGAGAGAGGGAGAGAGGGAGAGGGAGGGAGAGGGAGAGAGGGAGAGAGAGAGAGGGAGGGGGAGGGAGAGAGGGAGAGGGAGGGAGAGGGAGAGAGGGAGGGGGAGGGAGAGAGAGGGAGGGGGAGAGAAAGGGAGGGAAGGAGGGAGAGAAGAAGAAAGCAGGAGCTGATGCTGGAAAAGAGTTTCCTGCTGCAGCTCAAAGCGGTGACGTGTTCTCTTAGAATAGTTCCTCTTTTGGGCCCAAAGTCTCGTTTCCCAGCAGGTCCTGAGGGAGCTGAGAGGAAAATACAAGCAAACACATGAAGACATGAAGAGAAAGAGAAAACAGATCTGCATCAAAAACCAACAGAGAAGAAGAAGAAACAGAGAGAGTCATTGAGAAAATGTGAAACCTGCAGATTTAATGAAGCAACATAATGCAACGTTTTCATAACAGGAAGTTAATGCATATGATTCATGATTCATAATAAATAATATATACATGAAATACAGATAAAAGACGAGTAAACACAACACATATAAATATAAAGTACCAAAGAGAGAAGCTGCAGATGATTCACTTCTGCAGTCCAACAGGAAGTCGTCATCACTGGTTCCCTCCACTAACAGCCAATCAGATTCCTCCATTAGATTCTGGATTATTACAGGAAATAATCAAACATTTATGATTCTTCTAGTTTTAGTTCATCATTTCATGTTATTTTATTGTATTCTGGTGTTATTCTGTGTTTACAGGTGTTACTTGTGGGACCAGGAGGTGTGAGGTGCTCGCTGTATTTCATTTAACTGTTTCAAGGAATAAACATATTTACCTAAAGAATGTAAAAACACATTGAGTTCACTTTGCTTGTGAACAGAAAAAAGACACTTGTTGGTGTTTAAACGTGATGAAGTTTTTGATGATAATTATGAATTAAAACTATTCTAAACTCATTAAAACGTCTCTCTGTGTGTTCGTCTCATCAGCACTTAAAGTCTGACTCATGAAACCGACTTCAGCCGCCTGTAGACGACCTCTGTTCAAGCTCATTTCCTGTTTCCTGTGAGCTCATCGCCTCCAACACACACACACACACACACACACACACAGTTTTTCTGTTGGACTGTGTTGAGGTGTTCTCACACAGTCTCAGTCTCAGTTTCACTTTTATGTCACATTAATCCAACAAACGTCCGGCTTCTTAGAGAAAGTTTAGGAGTTCTGTTACAGCATCCCCTGCTTTATGGTCTGTTTGAGACCTGTCAATCACTGTGTAGCCCCGCCCCTAAAGCATCCCCTGCTTTATGGTCTGTTTGAGACCTGTCAATCA